TAACTCTATAATGCAAAGTTTCTTACTATCAATTCACCAATGAAATTCATTCGGTAAATTTAAATAGAATAATAATAATAATAATAATAATAATAATAATAATAATAATAGAACAGCAATATTGTTGATACATTGTATGAATGTCAGTCATATGATCTAGGTCAAATGTGGTGAGAAACTTAACAAGAGATTATTAATAATCATACATATTTTCTAACCTATTCACTGTAAACAAATAAAATCACGCCATATCAGTGATGATGATAACTCTATTCTCTTTCGTTTTGTTATTACGTCACCTAGTCTACTTTGAAGTAAGAATGAATAAGGTGATTATTGATATTTTCATTTGTATATCATTTAAAATTGAACAAATAACTATGTTATCAGTAACATAGGTATGTATGATTTAGTTCACTTGTATACATCTTCACTGGTTTGTAATTGTGTGTTCGTGGTGTTCAGATAGTACTGTAAACAAAAGATAACGTGAAAACAAAAACAAGCAATAAATACAAATTTTCAGTGCAGCAATTTGATTCTTTAATAAGGTAAAAAATAAGGTACACAAATTATATCATCTAACAGGATAGACATAAAAACGTATGATTACAATTGTTTGTGATATGAAGTTATGGATATCTAATGCTACTAATACTACAAAGGAGTAAAATTGCCTATACTGCTTTTTACAAACAAAAATCATTCAATATGACAATCAGTTATAAATAAATATGAATATGTAAGTCTGGTGACGCTGCATTGGTTGATAGCGTGCCCGGAGCGTGTAGCTAATTACGTTCTTGAGATCATGCCTTCCGAGAAAGAACATATTAACGCTGTTGTTATTGGACATGTCGATAGTGGAAAATCCACTACCACTGGACATCTAATTTACAAATGCGGTGGCATTGACAAACGTACTATTGATAAATTCGAGAAAGAGGCTGCTGAGATGGGTAAGGGTTCTTTTAAATATGCTTGGGTGTTGGATAAACTGAAAGCTGAACGTGAGCGTGGTATCACTATCGACATTGCCTTGTGGAGGTTTGAAACCGTTAAGTACAGTGTCACAGTTATTGATTCACCTGGTCATCGGGATTTCATCAAGAATATGATCACAGGAACGAGTCAAGCTGATTTTGCTATACTGATTGTTGCTGCTGGTGTTGGTGAGTTTGAGGCCGGTATTTCCCAGAATGGCCAAACTAGAGAACACGCTCTGTTGGCATACACGCTGGGTGTCAAACAGTTGATTGTCGCAATCAATAAGATGGACTCCACTGAACCTCCCTTCTCTGAGACTCGATACAAGGAAATTATCAAAGAAGTATCTGGCTACATCAAGAAAGTAGGGTTTAATCCTGCTGCGGTCCCGTTTGTACCTATCTCTGGGTGGCACGGTGATAATATGATAGAAAAGAGTCCAAACATGCCATGGTTTAAAGGTTGGGACATTGCAAAAGCGAAGGAGGGGAAAAGCTTAAGTGACTCAGGTCACACACTGATAGATGCAATTGATAAAATGGAACCTCCATCTAGACCAACAAACAAACCTCTCCGAATTCCGTTGCAAGATGTCTACAAGATAGGTGGTATTGGTACGGTTCCTGTTGGTCGCGTCGAGACTGGTATCATCAAGCCTGGGTGAGGTCGCGCAAAATCCCTAGATCAATCAGAGTTAGACATTAACACCGTTGGATGCCGGCCCAGTGGTCCGATGGTAAGGCGTTCGCCTACAATGCCAAAGGTCCCGGGTTCGAATCCTGCGAGGAGCAGGAGTCGTGGATGCGCACTGCTGAGGAGTCCCATACTAGGACGAAACGGCCGTCCAGTGCTTCCAGGTTTCAAATGGTGGTCTAACAATGATGATTGATTAATGATTTCAAATGTGTAATATGTAAATGCACAAATGATATTTTTGTGTTTCATAGTCTAAACTTCAATATTTACAGTGACTAAATATATTTTTTTTGTGTTATTATGCATTACGTCAGTGTCTAAAAATGACGTCGTTTATCTCGAATTGAACATAAATCCTGGCGCTACTAAGTGGATTGGTTGAGATTGGAAACGTGTTACCACTAGACATCACTTAAACTCCATAATGTCTAGACAGCTATGTTTAAACTTCAAGATCATAGGCCAGCTAATTTTCCAGGTGGTGGTTGTACTTTGCTGAAGGGTTCGATACTGAGATGAAGCAACTAACTAGTGGTCACTAGTCTTCGCTGGTGCCCCATGCGAGGTAAATGCGTAGCTAACGTGAACAACTGACCGGATCAATTTTATTACTTATTGTTGTTTGATTTGACAAACAGATTTAATCTCAACTCAAAAAGACTCATTTAAATGCAAATATGGCTAGTTCTATAAGTTTTCATTCTGTAAAATGAAATGTATCAACAGACCTATACTATGGAATAATAACTGTTTTTCATATAAATTGACCTCTTTTTGTTACTAGTAAACGCTAACCTAGAAGAGGATATTCTTGGATTCTCTTTTTATTATAAGTTTAGTCAAGGAAGACTTGGTCAACACAAGGACATCAGAGCGTGAGATTTGAATGGAAAGACTACTTTCTTTAATAAACATGATCTATTTTCGTTTCTTTGACCCAAAATCAGTTTTATGATTGTCGACTATGCAGTAACATCTATTTCACAATAAGTATATCCGAAGGTTCATTTATTTGATTCTGTCATGTCGAAATCTTTTAAGTGACTGTTAGACGGAACATCATTTACTGATGTTAAAATCAGTTGAAAAGATTAATCTAGTCGTCACTGTGTGATTAGAGATCAACGTAAGTGGTCTTATTATTTCATGAATGAGATCATAATTATTTACAGATTTAAAATATCAATAGAAACTCGAAATATCACACTCTTTATTTATTTACGAATGTCATTTGCAGACAGATTTTCCAATGTGTGAACTTGCTAGTTCTATGTCATATAAGCCGGTTCGTTAGTTAACTCTTGATAGCATAAAATTTCCGATAATGTTTCGGATGTTTATGAATCTACTGAATTTTTTATTAGTAATGTATATATTACAAATAAAAAATTCAGTAGATCATAAACATCCGAAACATCTATCGGAAATTTATGCTATCAAGAGTTAACTAAACGAACCGGCTTATATGACATAGAACTAGCAAGTTCACCACATTGGAAAATCCTGTCTGCTAAAATGACATTCGTAAATAAATAAAGAGTGTGATATTTTCGAGTTTTCTATTGATATTTTAAATCTGTAATTAATTTATGATCCTTCATTCATGAAATAATAAGACCACTTACGTGATCTCTAATCACACACAGTGACGACTAGATAATCTTTTCAACTGATTTTTAACATCAGTAAATGATGTTCCGTCTAACAGTCCCTTAACAAGATTTCGACATGACAGAAATCAATATATAATGAACCCTCGGATATACTTATGTGAAATAGATGTTTACGGCATAGTCGGACAATCATAAAACTGATTTTGGTCAAAGAAACGAAAATAGATCATGTTTATTAAAGAAAGTAGTCTTTCCATTCAAATCTCACGCTCTGATGTCCCTTGTGTTGACCAAGTCTTCCTTGACTAAACTTATAATAAAAAGAGAATCCAAGAATATCCTCTTCTAGGTTAGCGTTTACTAGTAACAAAAAGAGGTCAATTTATATGAAAAACAGTTATTATTCCATAGTATAGGTCTTGTGATACATTTCATTTTACAGAATGAAAACTTATAGAACTAGCCATATTTGCATTTAAATGAGTCTTTTTGAGTTGAGATTAAATCTGTTTGTCAAATCAAACAACAATAAGTAATAAAATTGATCCGGTCAGTTGTTCACGTTAGCTACGCATTTACCTCGCATGGGGCACCAGCGAAGACTAGTGACCACTAGTTAGTTGCTTCATCTCAGTATCGAACCCTTCAGCAAAGTACAACCACCACCTGGAAAATTAGCTGGCCTATGATCTTGAAGTTTAAACATAGCTGTCTAGACATTATGGAGTTTAAGTGATGTCTAGTGGTAACACGTTTCCAATCTCAACCAATCCACTTAGTAGCGCCAGGATTTATGTTCAATTCGAGATAAACGACGTCATTTTTAGACACTGACGTAATGCATAATAACACAAAAAAAATATATTTAGTCACTGTAAATATTGAAGTTTAGACTATGAAACACAAAAATATCATTTGTGCATTTACATATTACACATTTGAAAATCATTAATCAATCATCATTGTTAGACCACCATTTGAAACCTGGATTGCACTGGACGGCCGTTTCGTCCTAGTATGGGACTCCTCAGCAGTGCGCATCCACGACTCCTGCTCCTCGCAGGATTCGAAACCCGGGACCTTTGGCATTGTAGGCGAACGCCCTTACCATCGGACCACTGGGCCGGCATCCAACCGGTGTTAATGTCTAACTCTGATTGATCAGGGATTTTTGCGCGACCTCACCCAGGCTTGATGATACCAGTCTCGACGCGACCAACAGGAACCGTACCCAATACCACTATCTTGTAGACATCTTGCAACGGAATTCGGAGAGGTTTGGTTGTTGGTCTAGATGGAGGTTCCATTTTATCAATTGCATCTATCAGTGTGTGACCTGAGTCACTTAAGCTTTTTCCCCTCTTCGCTTTTGCAATGTCCCAACCTTAAACCATGGCATGTTTGGACTCTTTTCTATCATAATTATCACCGTGCCACCCAGAGATAGGTACAAACCGGGACGCAGCAGGATTAAACCCTACTTTCTTGATATAGCCAGATACTTCTTTGATAATTTCCTTGTATCGATTCTCAGAGAAGGGAGGTTCAGTCAATCAAACAGTTCAATCAACTGTTTGACACCGAGCGTGTATGCCAACAGAGTATGTTCTCTAGTTTGGCCATTCTGGGAAATACCGTCCTCAAACTCACCAACACCAGCAGCAACAATCAGTATAGCTAAATCAGCTTGACTTGTTCCTGTGATCATATTCTTGATGAAATCCTCGAATGACCAGGTGAATCAATAACTGTGACATTGTACTTAACAGTTTCAAACCTCCACAAGGCAATGTCGATAGTGATATCACGCTCACGTTCAGCTTTCAGTTTATCCAACACCCAAGCATATTTAAAAGAACCCTTACCCATCTCAGAAGCCTCTTTCTCGAATTTATCAATAGTACGTTTGTCAATGCCACCGCATTTGTAAATTAGATGTCCAGTGGTAGTGGATTTTCCACTATCGACATGTCCAATAACAACAGCGTTAATATGTTCTTTCTCGGAAGGCATGATCTCAAGAACGTAATTAGCTAGCACGCTCCGGGCACGCTATCAACCAATGCAGCGTCACCAGACTTACATATTCATATTTATTTATAACTGATTGTCATATTGAATGATTTTTGTTTGTAAAAAGCCGCCTCTAGGCAATTTTACTTCCTTTGTTAGTATCTAGTTCGCATTAGATATCCATAACTTCATATCACAAACAATTGTATATCCATTACGTTTTTGTATGTCTATTCCTGCTTAGATGATCTAATTTGATGTACCTATATTTTTTACCTTATTAAAGAATCAAATTGCTGCACTGAAAATTTGTATTTATTGCATTGTTTTGTTTTCACGGTTATCTTTTGTTTACATACTATCTGAACACCACGTAATTCACATCCAATGTACCTATAACCTATGTGAATGATGTATATCTAAGTGTGAACATTGCAAATCATTTGTATTCATACCATTGTTACTGATAACTTATTAGTTATTTTTGTTGGCAATTTTAAATGATATACAAATGAAAATATCAATAATCACCTTATTCATTCTTACTTCAAAGTAGACTAGGTGACGTAATAACAAAACGAAAGAGAATAGAGTTATCATCATCACTGATATGGCGTGATTTTATTTGTTTACAGTGAATAGGTTAGAAAATATGTATGATTATTAATAATCTCTTTGTTAAGTTTCTAAACACATTTTGACCTAGACTCATAGACTGACATTCATAACCCATGTATCAACAAATATTGCTGCTCTATTTGATTATTATTATTCTTATTCATTATTATTATTATATTATTACTATTTAAATTTACCGAATGAATTTCATTGGTGAATTGATAGTAAGAAACTTTGCATTATAGAGTTATGGAGATTGTTGTTTACTATTGAATTCATGAAACCTGGAAGCACTGGACGGCCGTTTCGTCCTGGAGTGGGACTCATAATAAAAAAGGAAACGAATCGAACAATGTACTCACTAGTCACTATTAGATTCATGAAAAAATTCTGGGAGTTCGAGTGAAATGACGTGTCCAGTGGAGCTTAACCCTGCCCCATTTAGGTAGTAACTAGCGAAGATAATTAGTGAGGTTGCGTAAAACCTTAGATTAATTAGAGTTAGACGTTAACACCGTTGTATGCCAGTACAGTGGTCCAGAGGTTAGGTGTCGGCGCGAAGGTCCTGGATTCAATTCTTGCGAGTAGCGGAGACCTGGATGCGCACTGCTGATTAGTCTCACACCAGGATGAAACGGCTATCGATTGTTTCCAGGTTTCTGATGGCAGTCTGACAATGACTGTGAACTCAGATTGTAATTCACTGACTTGGATAATGAGCAAACTATCCAGAATGGTTATCATATATATCATGTTGCTGAATATACAATGCAGTGTGAATTTCTTTAATTATTAATAACTATAACTCAGTCCCATCTAGTTGTATTCTTACGTTGAAAACTCGGGAAATTCCTTCGTGAAAGTTTTAAAATGCTAGGGAACAGCTGAAGCGCCGTCATTTGATCATGGTTCAATAGTAACTTCCTGGAGTTCTAGGACTGTATACAGTTCAGATAATTTTCGGTCTTGTTAATAAATTGAAATGTTCTCAGAAGCTCGCAGCATACGAAAGTCATTCACAAACCTGCAAATTTCACTGTTCTTTAGACTTGAACCAATCACTGGAAATGGAACTTCTTTTCATACATCTAATCTTTTGGTTCTCGTTTCAAGTTTAATTTTAAGGTATTTTGGAGGACTAGTAATTGATTGAAAGCGCAGTATCAAACTCTCAATAACTAGATGCCATGGCATTCTTACCAGAGACATACGAAAAACTTCTAATTTTTCAGGTTGAGTAATCACTTTAATGTTGCACAAATATATTTTCACCTTGACTTCGCCTACAATTTGTATTATTTTTGAAAAGTTAACGATACAAAACTTTTTCATGACTACAAATTTCATAGTTTAGTTTATTTGTCATAAGAAAACTACTTTGGCTTTCAAGAATAAATACTAAATAAATAGTTTCACCACTATGAACCATGAATATAAATCCTCATGGATTTCTTTCATTCTCGTTTAACTATCATGCCTTAATTCTGACTTCTTTTGACAAATTATTATCTTTCAATCTTTATTGTTTTAAAAGAATCGAACGAAAAAAAATAATCCGTTTATATCAATTAGAAAAAATTCATAAATTCTAGTTATAAGTGCTTTAAATCTATTTATCTATCAATCCATCTGACTGTCTATCTTGCCACCGAATTCGATTTCTCTCTCATTCTTAGTTTATCAAATCATTATTCATAAATAAATCTGATAAACAATAGGATCCATTAATTTTGAAATTAGTCAAATAGTCTAAACACGTATCAGCTTTCGATTGAATAGTAACCATCATTTAAGTATACAGAATATTCTGTAAAAAAAATTACTTAACTTGGTTTTTTTTTTACATGCTTCATGCATTAACAGTATAATAACAATGCGTGAATTTTGGAATACTCATCGATTTAACCAAATAACTTTATCTTCATATGGTTAATTATATATTTCACCATAACTTCCTATTCATTACTAACATTTTTTGTTAGCCTATATATGAAAACAATAAATAATCTTTCAATTAACATGACCTATTCAATGAAAATTTTTCATTGGAATTTATGATATTTAATTCACACGAACTATAATATCCTCTTTTGTTGAATTATTTCACCGTTATGATATTTTCAATGAGAGTTATGGAGATTAGTGTTTTTACACATTTGAAATAATCAATCAATCTATTGTTAGACCACCATTAGAAACCTGGAAGCACTGGACAGAGTTCTAGTTATAAGAACGTGATCAGTGAAGTTCAACCCTGTCGGGTGTAGGCAGTAACTACCAAAGACAAATGGTGTGGTCGCGCAAAATACCTAGATTAATCACAGTTAGACATTAACACCGTTGCATGCCGGTGTGCCTGAGAAGATAGTTAACATCATACGGAATTCCTATGATGGATTCAACTGCAAAATCGTACACGAAGGACAGCTAACAAACTCGTTCGAGGTGAAGACCGGTGTCAGGCAAGGTTGCTTACTCTCACCCTTTCTCTTTCTCCTGGTCATCGACGGGATGATGAAAACGTCAGCATCTGGAGTGAAGCACAGGATACAGTGGACAGCTAGGATGCAGATGGACGATCTGGACTTAGCAGACGACCTGACTCTTCTATCGCACACTCAACAACAAATGCAAGAGAAGACGACCAGTGTAGCAGCAGTCTCAGCAGCAGCATGTCTCAACATACATAAAGGAAAAAGCAAAATTCTCCGATGCAACACAACATGCACCAACCAAATCACTCTCGATAGAGATGCCTTGGAGGACGTTAACACATTTACATATCTGGGAAGCATCATCGACGAGAAAAGTGGATCGGATGCAGATGTGAGGGCACGGATTGACAAAGCAAGGGCTGCATTTCTACAGTTGAAAAATATCTGGAATTCCAAACAACTTTCAACAAAAACCAAAATCACGATTTTCAATACAAATGTCAAGACAGTTATACTGTATGGAGTGGAAACTTGGAGAACTACCAAAGCCATCATCCAGAAGATACAAGTGTTTATTAACAGTTGTCTACGCAAAATACTTCGGATTCGTTGGCCAGACACCATCAGCAACAACGAACTGTGGGAGAGAACAAACCAGATTGCAGTGGAGGAGGAAATCAGGAAGAAGTGGTGGAAGTTGATAGGACACACATTACGAAAAGCACCTAACTGCATCACGAGACAAGCCCTCACATGGAACCCTCAAGGCAAAAGGAAAAGAGGAAGGCCAAGGAACACACGATGCCGAGAAATAGAGAAAGACATGAGAAGAATGAACAGAAATTGGACAGAACTGGAGAGAGAAGCCCAGGACAGAGTTGGTTGGAGAAAACTGGTAGGCGGCCTTTGCTCCATTGGTGGTAACAAGCGACATTAAGTAAGTAAGTAAGTAAGTATGCCGGCCCAGTGGTCCAGAGGTTAGGCGTTCGCGCACAATACCTAAGGCCCTGGGTTCGAATCATGTGAGTTGCAGGAGTCGTGGTTGCGCACTGCTGATGAGTCACATACCAGGACGAAACGGCCGTCCATTGTTTCCAGGTTTCTAACGGTGGTCTATCAACGACTGACTTGATGATTTCAAATATGTATCATTTTTATACGGATAATTTACTTGCCGGATTTTATCATGATATATTTCAATTCTATCTCAAGTCATTATAATAAAATATTTTAGAGATAACTCATATCTATATAGCTTAAAGTCTATTTTTTTTATGGAACTGCTTATAAACTCCTTTCGTCAAAGGTTCAGTTTGAATGATTTTACATTTTTATTTTAACCGTTAACCGAGATACTCTAAACTTTGATTTCAATCACCACTATCTATACCTTTTGAGAATCTCATATTATCATTAGAAATTATGTTTTCTAAAATTTTAAGATTACTGTTGCAAATTCAAGTTCAATAATTTTGTACAAGATATTCGAAAAAAATTATATAATCGATAGTTTTATTTTAAGATTGTGTTTATTTTTAGATTGAATTTAACGCTGTCTGCTTGAAATTGAATGTCCAAGTAATTAGGCTTTCATTTACAAATTCCACTAACTGCTTGAAGAGTTTAAAAAGCTAATCAATTGTTAATTTACACAATACTTTAACTACTTTTTTAGAACCGTCAAGGCGATCACAATTTATCCGGTTTTACTAATAAGTGTTAATTTCTTTCCTGTCATGATCATCCCATGTTTTGTAATTTATATTTTTGCAAGAATTCACCTGTTTTCTGATTGGTCTTAACCGCTTTTAGTCTGATACCGTTCTGTGTTGTGAAGTCATACTTTGTAACTAAACATGTCGTCTTTGACTAATTTGATTTTCCTTTGTTATATATCAAGTTTTCTTCAACATTGCTGCCTTCTTTTTAAGTTTTAGCAATGCGATTAGTGGTGATGAGTTATGTGT